TTGTTTGTGGTGTCATTTAGTGTAACCGATAACACAACTTAATTCTTGGTCATCTGCCGCCTAGACAACTCCCATGCTGACAAAACGGAACCTAATGTAAAGAAACCTGCTTGCGGAGAACCTCAAAACGGAATGAATTTTTGCTATTTCTAGACTCTTGTTCTTACTTTGCTTTTGCCTTTAGACTGTCCTTTTATTTATCTTCCGGATTCTCGATCCCACTAAATGATGTCACGAATTCACGTAACAGCAAACACCCATTTTAAAAATTTATTTTGTATGCTAAACTTTAGTAATTAATTATTAAGAGATTTCTAATATTTTCAATACATTATATAGTATACCTAGATTACTACTAGACATTTAAAAAAATTTATACAAGTTGCCCGTTTCCACTTAGGCAAAATTAAGTTTATAAAATCGACCCCTTGATTTATTCTTTTTGGTACACTGCCGGCCCTTTGAAGGTGGACGATTTATTTTTCTAATGTGACGTGGTCTACTTTTTATTTTGACAAGTTTTTATATGTCGGTGTCATTAGTAATTTGCTTGGTAATTCAAGATGGCGCGTTTAACGGAACCAGGGAAAGCGAGAGCTATAACTTTACTTCAGAATGATTGGTCATTGCGGATGATCTGCATGTATGCAAGAACAGCATATTTAAACTCAAAGAAAAATGGATTGCGGAGGGTCACGTACATTATGTTCATGGAGGTGGATGTCGAAAAGTAAACACCACCTAAGAATAAATCCTTTTGACATGGCAGTAGCGGCTTCATTTGAGACGAATTTTCCTGGATCAGTGCGAACTGCAAGGAAGCGAGTGAAAGATTCGGAGCTGAAGAAATATGTGGCCACAAATACAGTTGCTTTGACTCCCCAGTATAAAGAACAGAGGTTAGAGTTTGCAAGACAATTTGTAGGAAGCCCAGACACCTTCTGGGAGAATATTATATTTTCGGACAAAAAAAGTTTTTAGTGTTGCTCCGATGCTTCTGTCCGTGTCTACCCACCAGAGATTATAAGGTATTCGGAGCCTTATGTGAAACCCACACAGCGCAGCGATAGATTCTCCATTAACGTTTGGGCTTGGATAAGCTGCCAAAGTCCTGATGTTTGTTGTGACCATGCTGTATCCTCAGAATTTCACTTTCAAGCAGGATAATTGTGCAATTCACACCTCAAGAGTTGCGTCAGAATGGTTCATTGATAACAACATCGATGTTTTACCTTGGCCCTCAAAGTCCTGGGGATATATGGTGAAAAAAATTTAGGACAGAAACTTCCGTCCAGTTAACGTCGAAGAACTTTGGGAGGCAATTGAAAACGCATGGGATAACATGACTGAGGATTATAACAAGAACATTAATTTTATCAATGCCATGTAGATTGCAGTGTTATAGACAAAAATGGTACTTGGACAAAATACTAACTTTACGAATCGCGTTTTTTTGACGACGAAAGGTGTTTCATTTTTAGATCTCGTTGA